GTGTGTGTGTGTGTGCGTGTACCTAAACACTGATGGTTCATTAACACTGTTGAGGTAATGAGCCATCTGAAAACTTAATTCATTCATACAGTACATTTCTCTCTCTGGTTGTCCCGCTCAAATGTTTTAAAATTGGGTGGTCTTCTAGTTAAATGAGGCTTAAGAAGAACCACATTCATCAAATTCAATTAAGTTGATTATTTAATTTAGGTTCAGGATCAGGGCCATGGCTTATCCACACCACTAATCACCTGGAAAGCTTCATATATCTGGTCAAGGCCTTGCGGCCCTGTTTGTCTCAATTTTCTCGAGGACAGACAGACCAATTACCATGGATCCTGAACTCCAGATTAACTGGCCTGATTTAGACGACGATTAGTATGATGAATTGTTCGAGACCGATTATCCTCTAGTCATGACACAGCAATCAGATCACAGCCAAGCATTCCAATGGAGTCATTTGCGCTCAGTGGTCAACATACTAAACATACATTCCCACACGTGTGATGTTACAGCCTTCCGCAGCCTCCACTGCCTGCATCATCAGCTCCCCCTGGTGGGAGCCACGTTGTATTTCTCCCTGTGCCTGCTCCCTTTTTGTGTCTGACTTGTCTCAACTTATCTCAGCTTTCTTTTCATCCTTGTGTTTACAGGCTTCACAAAATCCCTGTGCATATACATCATTCCATCCCATCATCCCTTCCTCTACACTTCCTTCAGCTGCCCTTAGAAATATGTCCTTCAGTTAATGTCACAGTGCCAAAGGGTGTTGACAAACAGGAAAGGCCAATCCTCTGGATGGTCTGCAACAACTTCAACAACCTGGGCTGCACTCTCTCTAATTTATGTCTCCTGCATGTCTGCTCCTTCTGTGGAGGTGCTCATGCCATGAGTACCTGCCCCCACAACCCAACCACACCTGCTGAATGACTAGCACAGCATCTTGGCACACCCATTAAGGTAAATGTCCTTGCCACTGCCTTACAAAATCATCCAGATAGACAGTTTGTTCAGTTCCTTATCAATGGCTTTATACATGGTTTCCATCCAGGTATAGAAGCACTACCTGAAACCTCCCACATCTGCCACAACCTTTAGTCTCGCCTCACAATACCTCACACTGTTGCCTCCAGAACCGGATATTCTCCCACATAAGCCCCACTATTTACAGCCGCAATATTCAACTAGCTCAACAGCTAGTAAACCTCTCTAACACTTCACAAGAAGCCATCATTTACAGCCTTGCCTCAAACACTCTCTTAGCCTACCTAACCGGCTAAAATTGTTTCAAGGCAGGCCATGCAACATATCAGCTATCATTTTTCTATTTGGATGTTGTATGCATCTGCAATTTCATCACCCCTGCTCATTCCATCCAAAATGTACAGTCCTCCACCATTCAGACTCTGTAGCCCACTCCTAATCTCTGTTTAAGGGCACCTTACTTTTTAAGTGAGAGGTTGCATCTCTTATCACAGGCTGGAAGCATAGCAATGTCACTGGTAAAAGTCAGGTAGAATATCATTACAAAGGAAAAAACCCTTCCATTCTGTACTTTAGACCAATGTGTAATTTAGAATGTAATAATGACCTCAATTGTGAAATTACCAATACCATATTAAAATTGAGTCCATTTGAGAAGTCAGGAAGTCACAGTCTGACACACTGAAGGTGGTATTTGTCTGGTAAAAAGAAACCCCATTTCCTTTGAGAGGATATAGCATACAAAAAGCAAAACCCACCATCACCATAGACACATGCTTGTGTGTGAATTGATATAAGGCACGCGCACACACGCATATTTAGAATATGTGTGAATGTGCATGTCCTGAATTGTGTATTTGTGTGTGTGTGTGTGAATTTGGTGACCTGTCTGGGTATGAGGGTATATATAAGTCCTCGAAATTCACTGACAACTCATTGTCTGGTGAAAACCTTTGATCTGGGGGCTGCTCAACACATTCTCCTTTGAAAGACTGGTGAGTTACATACCCCTTTTTATTATCATTGCTGATTTCATGTGTTTCATGTGTGTGCTATGTGTGTGTGTGAATTCAGAAGCTGTTTGCCTGCCTGCTGTGATGAAGGGTCTCATGCTGATTTTTGCTCCACTGTATTTGCTCCTTTGTTGGATGCAGCCTGGAGGCTCTGTGAAGGTGAGTGGTACATTCCACCCAGTTCAGTTTAATGTGAAAATGTGTGGAAATCTGTGAAACTTGACAACTGTTAGCACAGCGTTTACATATGGGTGAACATGTCACACATGATGCTGGGATGAAAATTTCAACTCAGAAAAAAGTTCAACATTAATGTTCCTAATTTAGAGATGGAGCACATAAGCCTCACTCAGTCTTACTTAGTTCAGTAGGCTCACTTATACAAATAACTTGCTAACTGTTTAACGTGTTTTTTGTTCATGTCTGAATTTTGACAGACTATGTTGAGGTTTAGCATGGTCCATGTGACTGCAGTGCTGTCTTGCAACCATAGTTAAAATTGGATTTTGTATCAGATTTATGATGTCATGTAACTTTAATTAGTATATAGGAAAATCAAGTTAATTGTTCTTCAAACTTGCTAACTGTTTCTTTTTTTATTAATAATACTGAATTTAAGTTTCATGGTACGCTTGAAATATGAGTAATGTTAACTTTAATTGTCTTGGCAATCACTGTAAATTTTGACCATAATGATGGGAGATGTGTTTGCTGGGCAGTAATGAAAACTGTCAGATGGGCCAGATGATCTAGAGTTTATTCAAGTTCACTACTGCACTTTTTTATTAATTCTTCTTCACCATTTTGTACATTTGTTTTGTCCTCATTATGTTCAGTCACTTCTTTGGCTAAAAGAAGTTTCTTATACTTTATATGTCCAGAGGTTTTCATAATTTGTTGTTGCAAGTTGCAATTTTGAACCTCAGTGAAAGCAAACCTAATCTCTTTTTTGATAATCTTTTCATACTTAAGACAGACATTTTGAAGTCTTCCCAGGACAAGCAAACCAGTTATTAACACTATCACACATTACAAATAATCTGACTATTAACCAAACTGCAGCAGGACCTCCAAACTCTGCAGGAAGCCGGGGATAGTGCAGGCTAAAGAGCACTGAGTGTACTATGGGACAGTGGTACGGGAACTAGTCTGGTAATCTCTGAGGCCCCAAACAGTATCTTTAGTGTTCTTCAGTAGCAGTATCGTATGTGCAGGTAGTGTCGAGGGCAGTGAATATGCATGGCGCTGGTATCACCAGCATCTGAGTTGAGTCTTGTACAGTATGGGTTTGCAGTAGTACCAAATGTCTCAGCAGTGAAGGTGCGAGTCATTATAAAGTAAGCAACATTTTGTCCCACTACTCAAGAGAGTTTGTTATTATGCATATTATTTATGATGTTGTATATAAATGTATCTAAGTTCTGCAGGCACACACAATGCGCTGTGAAAACAACGTTCCCCTTTTGGGACAATTAAAATCGATCAGTCTAATTCTTTCATAGCCTGGATTTCTCTACAGACATTCATACACAGTTGTACAAACTATGTCTAATTCATTACCTATTCTCTCATCTTTTTTCTTTCCTCCCCTCTAGATCAGTTTTGTCTTCACTCCACGGAAGGCAAACCAGGTTATCCAAATGAGCATGGTTGAAGATGCTGTTGATGACATGTACTTTGACTGCGATAAAGTAATGACGACAAAGATCAACAACAGATATTTTAAAGAAGAGATCAAACAAAGGATATTTGAGAGTGTCTGGAAAAATTCAGAAAAATGTTCAAAAAAAAAAATAGTAGATGCTAAAAACAGTGCTCTGACTAAAAAACACAGACAAGCAATCTGTGTTTATACATCTGGTTTTAAAAAATTTTATGAGATTTTCAATGCTGCAGTCCGGACCGACAGAAAAATCTATCAAACTTCCTTCCCATTTCACTCCTTACATTTCTGGCTGACATCTGCTGTACAGATCCTAAATAATAATATGAAATGTCACAATACTTACCGTAGAACCGAAACTGTATTTACTGGCAATGTCAACCAAATAATACGGTTTGGTTTCTTTGCCTCTAGTTCTTACAGTCCAACGATGACCCACTTTGGTAATAAGACCTGCTTTAATATTACAACGCGTTTAGGTGCTTCCCTGGGACAATATCCAACTCTTGGAGATAAAGAGCAAGAGGTGCTCATTCCACCCTATGAGAAGTTCAAAATAAAAGGGAAGATCGCAAGGAAAAAGAAGAGTCCATATGTTGGAGGTTTGGATGATTGTGACGTTGTTTATGTCTTGGAAAGCGCCGGAGTTCACAGCAATCTAAACTGCCAAGCTGTCTAATTATAAGAGACCAGTGGTTATTCTTCAACTGATGGAGCAAGGTCAAAACTAGATTGAGTCTGGGTCTTGTCAGAAAACTATATCCTTTTAAAATCCAAGCTTATTACAATATATCCATACATTCTCTTCAACAGCTAAATTCTTCAACCCCTAAATTCATGCTTTGGGGTACTAATTGCAGGCTTAGGTTTGCATGCTTCTACAACATATTATACTGTAGCTACAGCAATATGAGCAACAGCTTTTTAAATTGTTATCAGCATTTATCAGCATATCATTTTTTACAAAAAATATTTTGTGTATTTTCTGAATGAAATTAATAAATTTTTAATCAGCAACAATTGTCTCTCCATTACAACATGCCAGGAATGTATGAGGTGTACCAACAAGAACCTCATGAAGATAAGCTGCTGCAAAGCTGTAGCTAATGGGAATCCTAATAAACTAAAAACTCAAACTAAATTACTTTTAATAATGCTCTTGACATGGCAGAAAATATATTTTGAGCCTACAAAGGAAAGGAGTGAATTTTGCTAAAATTAAAAATGTACTCACCACATTGATTTAGTTCAACAAATACAACGAAAACATAAATTTATGCAAAACACCAGATTACATTCCATAATATGTCACAACATTATTGGCAGGAGACAGATCTAGGCCATCAATTTATTTTTTTAAAATATATCCATACAACAAAAAAATGGCTAATAAGGGAAATGTGAACTATAATCTGTAAATAAAAGTCTGGCTCACGTCTTAGACTGCCGTAGATTTTTACATGTAGATGTGTGGAAAAACATTTCTCTGAAGCTGTTACATTCAGAGGTGTCAGTATGTGGTAGAAACAACCTTGAGAGAAGCTATATGAGAAGCCACCTACAAAATCATGTGTTTGAACTGTGTGTGGGTGGCGGGGGGGGGCTGGGGCTATTGAATTGGGATAATTATAATAGTAATAATAATAAATATATCATACTATATATAAGTATTTGTGCATGTCTTCTCACTTGCTTGCATGCTGCCCCTGCACGTATAGTTGCATTATTATTGCCTGTGTTCCTTTTCAGGTGCTTTGTCTTGTGCGGCTTCTTACAGGAAATGGTTTTAATTTGCTACACAAAAGACACAAATGTGTCAGCTCACTTTCACACTTTTTTTAATTGTGACATCTTCACTGTAGTGGATTTTAAAGTGACTTTCACTGTGTTCTGAAGAATCCAAGTTGCCTGAAGGCAGTAAGGCTGATTTTAAATTAATGGCCTACAAATGAAACCCACCATTATAGATCTTTCAAATCTGTATCAGTTATGAGTGACATATTTTTGTCTATGATGTGATGAATTCTGGGACTACAGACCTGCACCTGCAATTTAAGCTTAGATGACAGGGAAATCTGCTTTTGGCCCAGTTTTTCATTGGCAACTTCTGACTACAACATTGACAAAAGAGCAGGTTCTACCTGCTTAAACATTAATTGACACTGCTAACATTTACATATACTACCATGCATCAGTGGATAAAGTTTGGATGCATCTGCATAAAAGAATGTCTATAACACAATCTCTAACAAGTCCGTATGAGCAGTCAGTGACACACTGTGGGTGTGAAGTATGTGTCATTTTTCTGGTAAAACAACCACATTTCCTTTGGTAGCTACAGAATGCTCATAGCAAAACCCACCATCTTACATGCATGCAAGTTTGACAATACTATTGACACGTACAGCACACATACATATACATTATACCAAAACAGATGCTTAATGCCATCATAAAAGATACACACACCCCATTAATTTACTTGCACGTGTCTGAATGCAAACTGTGTGTCTGTTTGTATTTCCTGACTGTTGTCATGGGGGACAGCATGCTTATCTTTGCTCCCCTATGTTTACTCCTGCCTGTCGTCTCCATGAGGGAGGGTGGAACATTCTGGGATAACTTACCTTTAATGTTCGTTGGCCGCTTTTTTCCTTTAATTAAGAACAATACATTAGAGGTTAACTGTTGAGATCTTGGAATGTGCCAATACCCCTAAAAATACTCAGCAGGAGCAAGGAACATAAGCAGCCAGACATGCAGGCAGGTAGGTTTTAAACAAACCTCTAGATTAGCCAAATGCATCATGAAGAGAAAACAAAGGCCAAACTGCCTATTGTAAATAATCACCACATTTTATTGACCTTTATTCTGGTTTAACTTTGACCTACAAGTGTAAAAAATATTTTACCCCCCCCCCCCCCCCGCCCAACCACACATCATTCACATTAAACACATTGGTTTTGTAGGTGGCTTTCTCATGAGCAAAGTTTTCCCTACCAGATAATGATGACACTCTTCAGGTGAATTGACACATTCCCCACGCTCTGCGTAAAATCAACTGCAGGTAACTAACGACCTGAGCCAGACTTTATATTTATCAGATTTTAGTTCAGTTTTAATTCCATGAGGCAACATTTTCTTGATAAAAAGGCTTTTGGATATTAACACCAACAGCCACATTTTTTATTTTACAACAACAGTGGATGAACAGTTCATTACAGAGCTTTCTAAACAGATCAAATCTGCTAAGGAAGAGAAAACCTCTAAGAACTGTGCTGCTTTAACCTGGTCTGTTTTCTCTACTATACAAATGAAATTCATTATTATAATCAATCCGGCCCAATGTAATAAACTTATGCTGAGACATGGTGGTTCTTATGCAGACAGGATCACACAGCTTAAGCAGTCCACATTATTTCCACCGTATTGGGAACTCACTAAGTGGTGTGAAGGCGTGCTCTTCGTTTATCTAATGGAAAGTAAGCACCCCACCAATGCTTGTCATTATTTTCCTTCCTGTTTTGATCTCAAACTCTGCTGTTGGAGCTACTACGAGGAGCTTTACAATACTTAGGCACCTTTTCTGACTGTACATTTAACGTTCACCAGCTAACACCATTTTTAAAAAACAACATCTGTGTCTAATCAGGAAAATTCGGGATCGCGGTATACACATGAATATTTTAGGAGACTGTTAATAGGGAACGCTCCTTACTGTAAACGTTTTTTAAACTTTTTAATGTATGTACATGTTATGGGCAGCTGCGTTGCTAAGGACAAAAAACAGACATTGCCAGAATAACACGCCATAGACAGTAAGTTATTTCTAAAGGAAACACGTGTCTTGATCTATTTAAACCCTTCTTTAATGAATTCATAAAATTACCCCTCTGGAAGCACACTATGAAAACCACTGCAGCAGGGCCCAGTATAAAATATTAAAAAAGTCATTTTATACCAAATGCAATAACTTGCCTCAGTTCAAAAACAGTGTCTCGTACCATATCTGTAATTTTGTTGTATGTACTGTGTTATGTTATTTTTATTTATTACCTGTTTGCTAATTGATTCTCAATGATATGTTTTCATCAGCCTGGAAACCAATGGCAAATTTTGACTTAATTAATTGTGATCATTATTTTTATAATTAGGTCTTATTTTGTGCGTCTTTTAACTTTAGGATCTGTAAAAAAGGAGCATGGCAACTGCTGCGGATGCTTGGTACTAAACTGATAACATTTAATATCATCTAGCAAAGAGGAAGAAGGCATTAATGAGGGCGCCAGTTGTGGGAAATAGTGTGAGCAAAATATTTTTGATAACACTAGATCCTTTATTACGTTATGATAATCAGTCCACAAGTTGCTGGTTCTAGCCACATGAATTTCTTGATCAATTACCATCAGGATGGTTGCCAAAGCGAAGGGAAATTTCTGCTTTTCTTCAACATCTTCTCCATCTTATCTCTGTTCATACTACCTCTTCACTGTATGGTTTTGACAATTACATACTTTTATCAAGGGGGCGCCGCCAGGAATTTTGGGCTCCAGACAAAAAAATCCAAATTGGGGCCCCCTCTGCGCAGCTGTGTCACCACATTTCTCTAGGGTCTCTCTCTCTCCATCAAAAGGCT